TAGAACTTTATGGGGGACCGGCCCCTTCATTGATTTTTTTTGGGGTGGGGCTCAGCCCCCATGGTTCCACATAGATGTCACCCCTGTCCACCTGGGATTCAGCTGGATAGAGTTGAGGTTGAGCCTTATTACTCCATGTCAGAATGGATCCACCATGAGCAAACAGCCTTGGTCCAGTATACCTGAAGGAGCGTCTCCACCCCCATCGTTCTGCCCGGACACTGAGGGCCTTCTGGTGGGTTGGATAACTCCATACCCTCCAACATTTCTCCTATGAAAATAGGGACATCCTAAGGAAATGTGGGACATTCCAGGATGAGTACGTTTCCGAGCACAATTCAAAGTGTTGGTGCTGACCTTTAATGACCTTTAATGGCCTAAATGGCCTCGGTCCCCATCGTTCTGCCCAGACACTGAGGTCCATTGTCAAGGGCCTTCTGGTGGTTCCCTCGCTGTGACAAGCCAAATTACAGGGAACCAGGCAGAGGGCATTCTCGGTAGTGGCACTTGCTCTGTGGAACGCCCTCCCACCAGATGTCAAAGAGAAAAACAACTACCAGGCTTTTAGAAGACATCTGAAGGCAGCCCTGTTTAGGGAAGCTTTTAAAGTTTAATAGACTATTGATTTTTTAATATTCTGTTGGGAGCCACCCAGAGTGGCTGGGGAAGCCCAGCCAGATGGGTGGGGTATAAATAAATTATCATCATCATCATCATCATCATCATCATCATCATCATCTGATGCTATCAAAGAGTAGTGGTGGTGGGGATCTTGCAGTGGGAATGGAAGGGAGAAGGAGATGTCTGCATTTTCTTCTCTCCAGCAGTGGCCAATATGGTGGCGTTGCTCCCCTTCATTTCAACCCATCAGGTTCCCTGCTACCTTGCCACTTCTCCTGTTGGTTAGGTGCAGTGATGTGTGGCATTGGGAAGTTAAGTAAGCCACCCTACCAACCACCATTGCTTCTCCCTCCCCCCAAAATAGATGTCTAATTCTGGTTCAACATGTGGGGGGGGGGGGGAAGGTTGGTTGGCATCTGCATGTCTCAGGAGTGTGCTTTTGGGGGTGGTGTGAAACTACTGGAAGGTTATAGCTCCTGCTATGATTGCAGAGAACAATGCGGGTGAAACAAGTTTTGCTGCATCTGGGGCAGATGAAGGCATCCGGTTGTGCTGCTGCAGATGCACCATGGCATTTCTCCTTTCTGTGCAACTCCTAGTGAGAGCCAGTGTGGTGTAGTGGTTAAGAGTGGTAGTCTCGTAATCTGGGGAACCGGGTTCACGTCTCCGCTCCTCCACATGCAGCTGCTGGGTGACCTTGGGCCAGTCACACTTCTTTGAAGTCTCTCAGCCCCACTCACCTCACAGAGTGTTTGTTGTGGGGGAGGAAGGGAAAGGAGAATATTAGCTGCTTTGAGACTCCTTAAAAGGAGTGAAAGGCGGGATATCAAATCCAAACTCCTCTTCTTCTTCCTCCTCTTCTTCTTCTTCTTCTTCTTCTTCTTCTTCTTCTTCTTCTTCTTCTTCTTGTGGTCATTCCTGTTCTGGTCACTGCTGTGGATACATGACCTGTTGATCTCCAGGCCCTGCAATCATCTTCAAGGGATTCCCACACAGCAGGCTGCGGTTGCCAGCCTTCATGTAGGCTTACAGGCATCTTTGTAAAGAAGAGTTGGTCAGCCAATAGGCTTGGTGCCAGAATCCAGCTCCCCACAGAGCATGTCCTTGGGGAACCTGCCATCTTCCATTCTGTGGACGTGACTGAACTAGAGTAGACGTCAGTGCAAACATGCTAGAAATTTGGGCTTGGGAGAACACATCTTTGTTTGGGACTCAGTACTGCTATGTGATGCCCAAAGCCATTGCTTTGGGGCAGCTGTAAGTTGCCCAAGACTCACTTCCATAAAGCAGCATGCTCAACATGCAAGCCTAGTAGACCTTCATCTTGCTAGTGGATGTTAGCATCACATTCCCCCATACCCTGGCTTGCCAATATGATTGGCCTTGCCAGTACGCTTGTCCAGCTCATTGTCGGTGGAAAGGTTGCTGGCTATGGTGGAACCCAGGTAGACAAAATCATCTACCACCTCAAGCATGTGGTCACCAGTGTGGATGCGTGGAGTGCTGACAATGTCCTAACCCAATATGGAGAGACTGTTTAAACCCTAATTAAAATGTGCATGCTCCCTGTCAAATTCAGCTGGGGGCCCACATCTGCGATGTGTCAGCACAGCATCATCCTGAGTCAGATGAGATGCTCTCCGATTAGGACTCAGATAATATTTAGTGTGCACTGCCCAGATAATGAGTGAATTTTCTCAACCATTTCATGTGCCTTCAGGCTTGCAGACATTTTGGATGGAGGTGTTTCTATGACTCAGCTGAGTCTTCGTTTTAGGACCTATAGAAGGTGTGCTCTGTAGAAGATCGCTCTCCTCATCTCATCTAAGAAATGCCTTTCATAAGCTCAGCCATATGCCCAATTATTTCTGGTTTCTTCATTCCTTTCCAGTAAAAGGTGTGTGAAGAAGAAACGGCTTCGCCCACTGACACTATAACAGAGCATGTCTGTGTGCCAAACTAATAAAACTAAAACACCTGTTGAGGATGCCAGTTTTCATTGCTTGCCAAATAGCCAAATGATGAGACTCTTCAAAAGACTGGAAAGAGTAGTGATAGGGTGTCATTTTCTGATCTAGGCCCACGACAGTCCTCTTTTCTCATTGCACATTCAAGATGGTTTGCACTCTCAAGTGTATCCTGCATTCCAGTTGATCTGCACAGTCAAAGCTTTCAGGCATGAGTAGCGATCTGTGCAAGGTCTGAAGCTTCCAGAAAACCCTTCAAAACTTTTCCTACCACAAACATTCCATTAAAAACACACAGACTACTGTCTGTGATGTGCTGTGATGTCATGGCACCATGCCAATGTTTCAAACAGAAGTCAAATATTTGGGAGCAGAGCAGGTTTAGCACAGCAGTCAATGCCTGAACAGTCAAACTGTAAAAGCAACAGTATGATGTCACAGTGCAAATAACTTATCTTCTGATATACATAGAAATGTAAGGCTGTCATCATGCCGCCTGCATTGGCAGATCTGTAGTTGCATGGAGTGGGAAGGGGGAGCTTTAGGTGTTAGGGAAGGATGATGAGGAATGGTGGGAGACTCTGTTCGTAGAACCCATAAGGAAGCTTCAGAAGAGGAAGGCCCAGAGCCAGGGGAGTGGTGGTGGGATAATGAAGACAAGTCAGAGGATGAAGGAGTGGAGTGGGGCAGAATCCTTGGATGCTGAAAAAGCAACAGGCTTGAGTGAGAGAGACGAAGAACAGGCAGAAAGCTCTGCCGATGTAGGACAGGCAGCTGAGGAGGTGAGAGCTGAGGCTGCTACAGATTCTCAGGAGTCTGCCATTCCTACTGTAATCAACTCCCCTCCGCTCTTGTCTCCAAGGGCACAGAGGACTTTGCATTTTGCAGAACAAGGAACCCAGAGGTCGCAGGGCAACCCCCTCGCTGATGGAGTTTAAGACTGCAGGGGAAACAGCTGGAGAGAGGAAGACTTAGGGGGAACTGGGAGGCTCAGGTCAACAGTTCTGGCAACTGTTTTATTAGGGGTCAGTCTAGCCAGAGGTTTCTTTCTTTGTATTCTGTTTCCTCGAATAAAGAATCAACATTATTGCTCTGAGTCTCCATTCTGACCTGCAGCTGAACCAGCCCTGACATTAGGGGGTTAATGAAGAGAGAACAGGAGGGGGGTTGGCCAGCAGAGCCAGCAGGGGTGCAACCCCACTTGTGAATGCAAGCTTACTCCTGAGAATACAAACCATCCAGGCCCAGCTGACTGTTGTTAAAATAAATAAAGAAGATCTGTGCTACACAATCTTCCTTCTGCAACTGCAATGATTTGGTCTTTCAGTGTGGTAGCGCAGTGCTGTGGAACTCCTTGCCTATTCCTATCAGGAAGGCTGAAAACATTTTAAATTGAAGTTGAATCCTGACAAGACAGAAGTACTGTTTTTGGGGGACAGGGGGCGGGCTGGTGTGGAGGACTCCCTGGTCCTGAATGGGGTAACTGTGCCCCTGAAGGACCAGGTGCGCAGCCTGGGAGTGATTTTGGACTCACAGCTGTCCATGGAGGCGCAGGTCAATTCTGTATCCAGGGCAGCTGTCTACCAACTCCACCTGGTACGCAGGCTGAGACCCAACCTGCCCACGGACTGCCTCGCCAGAGTGGTGCATGCTCTAGTTATCTCTCGCTTGGACTACTGCAATGCGCTCTATGTGGGGCTACCTTTGAAGGTGACCTGGAAACTACAACTATTCCAGAATGTGGCAGCTAGACTGGTGACTGGCAGCGGCCGCCGAGACCACATAACACTGGTCTTGAAAGACCTACATTGGCTCCCAGTACGTTTCTGAGCACAATTCAAAGTGTTGGTGCTGACCTTTAAAGCCCTAAGCGGCCTCGGCCCAGTATACCTGAAGTAGCGTCTCCACCCCCATTGTTCTGCCCGGACGCTGAGGTCCAGCGCCGAGGGCCTACTGGCGGTTCCCTCATTGCAAGAAGCAAAGCTACAGGGAACCAGGCAGAGGGCCTTCTCGGTAGTGGCGCCCGCCCTGTGGAACGCCCTCCCATCAGATGTCAAAGCGATAAATAACTATCTGACATTCAGAAGACATCTTAAGGCAGCCCTGTTCAGGGAAGTTTTTAATCTGTGATATTTTTGTGTTTTTTTGGTTTCTATGGAAGCTGCCCAGAGTGGCTGGGGAAACCCAGCCAGATGGGCGGGGTACAAATTATTATTATTATTATTATTATTAATTTATTTATCACGTGACATTTATATGCCGCTTCATTGTTTTTTTAAAAAAAGCCTCAAAGTGGTTTACAAAAGGGATAAATTTTAATTTCACCAAGCCTACCAGGTTGAGTTAGTTTTGTGTGTGTGTGTGTGTGTGTGTGTGTGTGTGTGTGTGTGTGTATTTGCAATGTTTCCTTATTGTATTTGCATTTTAAGGATAATGCATTCCTCTTCTCCATAGTTTTATAGCTTTTAGCAGTGCTTGTAACCTACTATTTTTTTCTTACAGAAGGTTTTGATTAAATGATTCAGCAATTTGGTTAAATAAATAAATAAATAAACGTCACATCAGTGCCTGCCAGCACGGCTGATTGTTAAGGATGATGGGATCTGGAGTCTAGCAACATCTAGAGGGCCACAGGTTCCCCACCCCCTGATAATATTCTTATAGAACAGGGAGGGGGAATAAGCAGCTGAAAATCTTCTTCAATGTATTCTAAAAAAAACCCTTTCAGCACAATCCTTATGTGTCTACTTGGAAGTAAGCTCCATTGCGTTCAGCTGATATGGAATACCAGCTGTATCGAGTAATCTCAGACACCCTTCCCACACCACCAGCCCACACTGTTTACCTGTTTCCTTTGCGAAGGGAAGGATGGGTGAAAAACACAACGTTAAACAGGGAAGTCAAAATAATTAGGGCGCTTCAGTGAAACAGCTGACAATTAAAGATCTAACGATTAATTTTTATTTCCTGGAATTGAGCAAGAGTTATTTCCTCTATGCACGCCAACAAACCATATAAAAAGGGATGTCTCCCAACAGATTGTTCCAGAAGCATCTGATACTCTGAAAGTATCTCTTTGGATCCAGCAGGAAGCCAGGTAAATTGTTCCCTGTTTGTGGGTTTATTGCTTATAGAAATACTTCTCTTCTCTGTAGGTTGTTAAATATCAGACTAACTTGATATTTTTTCTCACCACTGAATTTTACCCAGAGTGAAATGTTGAGATAAATGTTCAACTTTTTCCCTGCACCAAATTCTGGAGGAATATTCAAAACGAGTGTTTCTGTCAAACTGTGGTTTGGTGTTCAGATGCCTCTCATGAATGGTCACCATTTCATGGGTGTTCTAGTCTTCATAAGAAAAGAGTCTCTGAATTTGGCAAGCTGAAATTGTTTAGAGACACAAGGTCTCTTTGGCATAGCTGAATTGTTTGGAGACACTAGGTCCCTAAAAATATTTCCTACAGAGAAATTTTTGGGGAATTTGGGGGGTTCAAATGGAACAGAGGAAGCTCTCCTCTACAGAGTCAGATCGGTGGTCAACCTAGCTCAGTACAGTACTGTCTACATTCACCAACAAGTGTTCTCCAGGATTTCAGACCGGGCCCTTCCCAGTCCTATCATCAGATGCTGGTGGTTGAGCATGGAACCTTCTGCATGGAAAAAAATAATATGATGAGCCACTTGAGTTATGGGAATTTAATAACTCTTCCTGCCCTACCTGGAGATCATGGGGATTGAAACTAGGAGTTTCTGCATGCAAAGCAGATGCTCAGCCACTGAGGTATGGCCCCTTCCTCAAGTGGGCACATCCTCATCTTGCAATGGAAGAGATGCAGTAGAAGGAAAGCAACATGCTTTGAGAAGGTGGATGCAGTGTATTGCAGAGGCATTCATTCTTGCCATGGAATCCCACCACAAGGGAGATCAGTTGCAGATTTAGGTAACAGTGTCCTTGCTATACCAGGTTGCCTATGATAGACCTCCAGTTTCAGAAGCAGGGAAGCCTCTGAATGCCAGTGCTGGGAAACAGCAATGTAGAAAGTACTGTTTCAACAAGGTCCTCTTTATGGTCTTCCCATTGGGTCCTCTCGCTGGCCACTGTGAGAACAGGATGCTAGACTGGATGAGCCTTTGGTCAGATGTACAACTAAGATCAGGAACTTGGGCCAATTTTCTCTCTTCCCACCCCTCTCTCTGATAGACATATAGCCAATGGTGGGAGACGCCAGAGACAAAAGAGGGAGGAGTAATAAATGTAAATGACACCTTTTCTGCAGTGGGCAAATTTCTGCATGTAATTGCACACTCCTCTGTCTCTTCCTTTCAGAAAAGTGAGAGGAATTGACAGATTTTAAGAACACCTTCTAGGCAGGCAAAAAATAAATGGGATTTGAAGCAGGGTCAGTGAGACCTTTGAACTATAGAGAAAAGGGGGTATGGCTCTCAAGAAGGATGTGTGACTTGGGAAGAGTTTGGAGGGCCTGTAGTTGGCACCTGGATCTGAGGTTCTGCACCTCTCTTTTAATCCAATAATAGTAGATCATAATTGCTGCATCCAAATGTCATTTCAGATCTACCCTCCCTGCTCCAACATGTCTTTCCTGAATGACAGTATGTTGTTGGAAGACTTCTATGAGCCAGAAATGGATGCTCACACCAGCCTTGACTCCTTCTCTTATCAGTATCCAGGCTGCTACCCACAACGTCCACAGTTTCCTGGCCGGAGTTGGGGATGTCCTCGGGGGTATCGCCCCATCACAGGGTGCATCCCCTGCTATCCTGGTCTGCCGTGTCCTCCAGGGTACCGTGTCATAAGGATTTGTGTCCCTTTTGGCCGAGCTTCCTACCAAGGAAAAGGCTGGCCATGTTAATCTCAGAAACAACACTGACGGAACATCCAAGGAAGAAGATTCTGATCTCAAGATTCTGATCCTCGGCTTAATGAATGAACATGGTATTCAGAAATGCTGAGTGCTCCAGAATCCCCACTGTGCAACCTGTGGGATTTGCAAGGCCTCAGCACTTCTCTTACCAATCCAGATGCTGCTTTTACTTTATTCCTTTCAGTTTTCCCTATCTTGGCATGGTTATCTTAAGAGCAGGCTCCTGTTTCCCAGCCACACCTATCACCTTCTATTCCACCCATTACTGATGAACCAGGACCCTCTACCACAGCTACTTCAACTATGAAAGATACTAAGTCAACATGGCCAAAGTGAAGACTGGTGGTAAACCCTGTTGGCTTAGCCTACAGTGATTTATTAGCTTTGTCTTTGTGATGTCTACATGTCAACATGTCTGATTATTGTTTTTCAGTGTTCCATGTTGCATTTATCTCCAGCTGCCCTGAGTCATTTCCACTGACTCCTTCCTTCATTTTCACATTAAAGTTTTCAGCATATTATAGAATGTTTCTGTTGAGTTTTCTTCCCCTCCTTTCACTTCATCCTCTGTCACAAGGTGTGGCATCTTACAGAATTTGTTGGTCTCTACGTCAAATTCGTCTCACCCAAGTTGTCATATGGTTAGAGATGATGGGACTTGGAGCTCCAGAACATATGGAGGGCACTTCTTTGAATACTCCTGCTCTATGACTCACGTGGGGGAGCCTTTGGCCAACAAAGATATTTTTGGATTATAAACCCCATCTTCCCTGAGCATTGGTCATGTTGGGGAATTGGCTGGGGAATTATTGGCGCTGTAGTCCAACAATGTTTAGAGGGCCAGAGCTTTTTGAAATCTAATTTTTCATTAAAAAATATTCCACATCACAAGGGGAAAGAGAGAGAAAAATGTATGCTCTATGGAAAGCTTTTCATCAAGCCCAAGGGGTATCTAGTTCAGCATCTTATATCACATACAGTAGTAACTCGGGTTAAGAACTTAATTCGTTCTGGAGGTCTGTTCTTAACCTGAAACTGTTCTTAACCTGAGGACCACTTTAGCTAATGGGGCCTCCCGCTGCCGCCGTGCGATTTCTGTTCTCATCCTGAAGCAAATTTCTTAACCCGAGGTACTATTTCTTGGTTAGTGGAGTCTGTAACCTGAAGCGTTTGTAACCCGAGGTACCACTCTAGTGGCAGAGCAGATTCATCTGGGGAGCCCACTAGCAGCATATAATATATTTCTTTCTTTCTTGCATCTATGCTCTCCCTTTCATTTGAGGAGTTCAAGGTGATACATGTGATGTGCCCTTTCTCACAACAAACTTGTGAGATCGCTTAGGATGAGAAATGGTGACTGGCTTAAGGTCAGCCAGTGAAAGTCATGGCTGAGTGGGGATTTGAGCCCCTATTTTTCCATTGAAGCCGAAACTGTAGGTTGCATCAGAGCCAATGACAGGGAGAGCCAGCTAAAGCTTGTTTTCTCCCCATCCCCCTTTCTGCTGAGTTATACAAGGGCAACACTGAGGTTAAGAAGGAGGAAGGTGACAGGCAGCTCCCCAAATCGGGAGTGTCTGCCAGTAAGAAGGGCAGACTATGGTTAGGGGGGTAGTTCCACATTTGTCCTAATGGACAAGCCTCAAACAAGAACATAAGAACAGGTTGTCCCTGAGCTAGTATCCACTTTCTGCCCTACATAATTTTATAACCACCTCCTTGATCATTCTGACTGCTCTTTTCTGCCCTGTTTCTAACACCTGACCTACCAGATGCCTCCATGAAGATCACAGGCAGGACATGATAATGGCACCCCTCAATCATGTGTGTTTGTGTTGGTAGAGCATGAGACTCTTAACCTCAGGGTCGTGGGTTTGAGCCCCACATTGGACAAAAGGTTTCTGGATTGCAGGGGGTTGGACTGTATGACCCTCATGGTCCCTCCCAACTCTACAATTCTATGATTCTACGGTGGTACCTTGGTTGTTGAATGGCTTGACTCCCGAAAAAATCGGCTCCCGAACGCTGCAAACCCAGAAGTGTGTGTTCTGGTTTGCGAATGTTTTTTTGGAAGCCAAACGTCCTACACGGCTTCCAACTGAGTGCAGGAAGCTCCTGCAGCCAATCGGAAGCCAGGCCTTGGTTTTCAAACAGTTCTGGGAGTCGAACGGACTCCTGGAATAGATTAAGTTCAACCACCAAGATGTCACTGTAATTGGACCAGCTATTCGTTATATGTGTAGCCAACATTACTACTCAGGTGTAGAAGGCTCTAGTGGATGAGCAGAAAAACCCTTATTGGAGAATTGCCTTGCCAGACCACAAGGCCAACCCAGTTCATCCAGTATCCTCCTTCCAACTGTGACCAGTCAGATTCTCCCATGAGAGGTCCACAGGCACCAGTTATCCCTGTCGTTTGGCCCTAGCACCTGCGCTTTAGGGGTAGACTGCTGTCATCCACAGAGGCTCCATTTCGAATGCAGTCGATACAACACTCTCTCCCTCCCTCGTGCTACTCTCTAATCTTAAGAGGAACATCTCCCTCTGCTGTCAAGCTAGAAGCCATGCAATTTTGTGGCTTTCTATTTTGACTCCACTCCATTCCTTTGAGGTTTTTATGCCAGATTGCTGCAGGGTATTGTTATAGCCTGTTCTTCCAGACAGTAGTTAGGAATTACACCTGAGGTGCAAAAGGAGTAATTACCATACTTCAATGACACATTGACAGTGCTCTCCTACTCACTCCCTGCTGTAAAATTAGGTGAGCTCAGTCTTTCAGCCTGGAATCAGTGTTTCACTCAGTTCTGTGAGAAGAAAGGAGGAAAGCACAGAAGGTGAACGTGTAATGAATCGGAGCTTCCTAAGGAGGGGTAGTGATTGACAGACACACATTGCTCCCCTCCCCCTCCTTCGAGTATTTCATACCCTCCAAGTGTCCCTGTTTTCCAGGGACATCCCTGATTTAGAGAAGCCATCCCGGTTTCTGATTTGATCCTGGAATGTTCTCACTTTTCTTTAGGATGTTCCTAGTTTCATTGGAGAAATGTTGGAGGGTATGGAGTGCCAAGGAGGGGGTCGCTTTCCTGAATCTTCCCTCCAAGCTACTAATCAACCACATGCAGGCAACGAATGGGTTACCAGACTTTATTGCCTTCTTCTCCAGCACCAGCTACAGAACATCAAACAGCAATATTTATACATACATACATACATACATAGGGACGCGGGTGGCGCTGTGGGTTAAACCACAGAGCCTAGGACTTGCCAATCAGAAGGTCGGCGGTTCGAATCCCCGCAACGGGGTGAGCTCCCATGGCTCGGTCCCTGCTCTTGCCAACCTAGCAGTTCGAAAGCACATCAAAGTGCAAGTAGATAAATAGGTACCACTCTGGTGGGAAGGTAAATGGTGTTTCCGTGCGCTGCTCTGGTTCACCAGAAGAGACTTAGTCATGCTGGCCACATGACCCAGAAGCTGTACACTGGCTCCCTCGGCCAATAAAGCGAGATGAGCACCGCAACCCCAGAGTCGGCCACGACTGGACCTAATGGTCAGGGGTCCCTTTACCTTTACATACATACATACATACATACATACATACATACATACCCCTCTCTGGGTGGCTCCTAACAGAATATTAAAACATTATATTAAAAATTAAAAACATAATAAAACAGCAATCATTAAAAACTTCCCTAAAAAGGGCTGCCTTCAGATGTCTTCTAAAAGTCAGATCATTATTTATTTCCTTGACATTTGATGGGAGGGTGTTCCACAGGGCAGGTGCCACTACCAAGAAGGCCCTCAGTAATACATGGCATGTTCTCTGCCTCCTCATGGAGGTTAAATTGAAGATTTATAGGGGCTGGGGAATGCTGGCCATCAACCAGCCCCATCACATGCTCCCGCTGTTGGAACTAATTGTTCCCACCTGCCTGAGGGGCCCCACCCAGCAATACCTGCTCACAGGATCACTACTTCATGGCATGGAGTTATCTGACCCATGAGGAGGTTGAAGGCAACATTCCCACAGGCTCATATGTATCCATAGCAGCAAACTTAGAGCCATGTGCAAATTTATGTGCCCTCCAGACCTTCCATGGCAATTAAGCATAATAAGCTTCTACAAAGAATTATCACATTTTATGCCCCAGAGGTGTGGGGAGTTGTGGTGTCTCAAATACAAATTTCCGTGGATTTCTGTAATAAAGATTTATAATCCTACCACTTAGGAGAAATTTGTATGCCATGAAATTAAATCATCTGCTATTGAAGTCGGCCACAGAGAATAATACTTCAGAACAAAGAAACAGTGGGGTCACTCAGAGGAGAAGATGGTGAAATGCAAACAGGGGACACAGAAAGGGCTGAACTCCTCAATGCCTTCTTTGCCTCAGTCTTCTCCGATAAAGAAAACAATGCCCGACCTGAAGAATTTGGAGCAAATGATTCAGCAAAGGAAACACAGCCCAGAATAACTAAGGAGATAGTACAAGAATACTTGGCTAGTTTAGATGTATTCAAGTCTCCAGGGCCAGATGAACTGCATCCAAGAGTATTAAAAGAACTGGCAGATGTGATCTCAGAACCACTGGCAGTCATCTTTGAGAATTCCTGGAGAACAGGCGAAGTCCCGGCAGACTGGAGGAGGGCAAATGTTGTCCCTATTTTCAAAAAGGGGAAAAGAGAGGACCCAAATAATTACCGCCCAGTCAGTCTGACATCAATACCAGGGAAGATTCTGGAGCAGATCATTAAGCAAACAGTCTGTGAGCACCTAGAAAGGAATGCTGTGATCACCAACAGTCAGCATGGATTTCTGAAAAATAAGTCATGTCAGACTAACCTGATCTCGTTTTTTGACAGAATTACAAGCCTGGTAGATGAAGGGAACGCAGTGGATGTAGCCTACCTTGATTTCAGCAAGGCATTTGACAAGGTGCCCCATGATATTCTTGTAAAGAAGCTGGTAAAATGCGGTCTTGACTATGCTACCACTCAGTGGATTTGTAACTGGCTGACTGACCGAACCCAAAGGGTGCTCATCAATGGTTCCTCTTCATCCTGGAGAAGAGTGACTAGTGGGGTGCCACAGGGTTCTGTCTTGGGCCCGGTCTTATTCAACATCTTTATCAACGACTTGGATGATGGACTCAAGGGCATCCTGATTAAATTTGCAGATGACACCAAACTGGGAGGGGTGGCTAACACCCCAGAGGACAGGATCACACTTCAAAACGACCTTGACAGTTTAGAGAACTGGGCAAAAGCAAACAAGATGAATTTTAACAGGGAGAAATGTAAAGTATTGCACTTGGGCAAAAAAAATGAGAGGCACAAATACAAGATGGGTGACACCTGGCTTGAGAGCAGTACATGTGAAAAGGATCTAGGAGTCTTGGTTGACCACAAACTTGACATGAGCCAACAGTGTGACGCGGCAGCTAAAAAAGCCAATGCAATTCTGGGCTGCATCAATAGGAGCATAGCATCTAGATCAAGGGAAGTAATAGTGCCACTGTATTC